AACAGCTTCAAATGCTAAAGCCATTGCTAGAGCACATGACAGTACTCGCCCAACCCTTGTACAGAAGCAGCTGTGGCGGAGTTCTGCCACGACCTTGGCCATGTTGTATGGCATCGAACATGAGCAAGATGCTCGGGTTGATTTTGCCCAACAGTTTACTGAACTAACAGTGACAGAATGTGGTCTCTGGCTTAATGGGAAATATCCTGGTCTAGGTGCAAGTCCCGACGGAGTAGTTTATGACTCTTCTTCAAACAGCGGTGTCCTTGAAATTAAGTGCCCCATATCCATTAAGACTGTTGCTCCGCAGGATTTTGCTGAGGTGCTCAATTATAAACAACAGAAGAGCTTTTGTCTGGCATCAGTGGCATGTGAAAACAATAAATATTATTTAAAGAAATCTCATGTGTATTATACACAAATTCAAATCCAAATGCTAATTTTGGAAAAGGAATGGGGCTATTTTGTAATCTGGACCCCACATGGGTTATTTGCAGAAAAAATCCCTTTTGACAGTGAGCATGTTGATGAAATTGTGCCACGCCTCTCAGACTTCCATAAGAAATGTCTATGTCCAGAATATTTTGAAATGAGACTCCCTAGGAGGCTGTCTCTAATACAGTTATCTTAAATGGTGAGCGCGTTTAGCACAGCGCCGAATGCGCACCGTGTGCGGGGGCCTTAAATGATCCCTTCTCTGTTCATTCTACATGCGTATGATCTCTACAAAGGGGTTGTTTATATCAATTTGTTGTGTGTTAGCATGATAACCTTAAGTTTACAAAATAAGGAGATATGAGGATGTGGATCCAGTGATTTTGTATTGCATTATTAGCTATTTGTGAATGTTTCATTTCCTTATTGAACAGATCTTGTTGATAAGCTGGCACGGCGAGTTCTATTCCTTGGACGCAGGAGTATGCTATGGGACAGTTAAGCCATCCACGCTCGTCTCGAGGAGAAGAAGAGAGAAGAAGTTATAAGAAGATATAAGTTACTTCTCATGCCATTTCATAACTAGTAACAAACTACATGATTGTAACTTTTGTACATTTATTGCTCAATTAGGAAACTTATATAATTGCATAGTTCAAACTAATGAATGTATTTTTGCTATTCTTCAGTTGGAAAATTGTACACACAAGGTCTGAACTCCTAATAAAGTAAAATGTTTACATATATACATGTGTTTATTTAGATTTCTGCAAATTCACCAATGGTTCCTGAAAATTTACTAAGCATCCAGCAACAAATACCATCTGTGAAAATATAGGCTGCAGTGACAGAGGAATGACTTTCTGAAGCAATCTAAATTTTTTTATCCTTTCAATTCCTCGTTCTACATGTATTCGTACTCTTGCTATTTGTCTAGTCAGTTTTTCTTCATCTGGTGTCAGCCTATCTCTGCCATGCAAAAATGGAGGAATATTTAGATCCACCCCCCTCTCTCCCAACAGTTCTCTTATTGTAAAACCTCTGTCTGCTATGACAAGATCGCCCCTTTTAAGATGGTCAAGAAACCCTGACTGTTTTACAATTTCGACATCGGACATAGATCCTTCAAAGGCATCGGACACGTACATTACAGCGCCACAAGGAGCTACACCAATTAGCACTTTATAAGTTCCATGTCCCTTATATGAGGAGTACAGATTGCCTTGCCTTTCAAAATTTGATGCCTGTTCAACGTGGAACTCTGTACAATCAATCACAGTTCTAACACCTTTAAATCCTTTAAAAGAAGGCGGCAAGTTAGACTTGATGACGTCTCTTGGAGCAAACATGGCAGTTTTAAGCCCAGAAAACTGCTTGTACATGAACTGAACCCAAGTAATAACAATTTTTGACACAGTGCTACTCGTAATGCCAAATCTGTACCCCAAATCTTCATTGAGCAATCCTGTTCGCAATCTCACTAACGTCAAAAACAGTTCATTCGTCGCACTTAACTTGCGTTTTGTACCTCGTGTTTTTGATGGTGACTTTCGGCATGATTTAAGGGGTTGATTCCAGTACGTCAACTTTTCCATTGCAGGTCCCAAAAATTCCCAAACGCATAAAAACTGTAACCAAGTTAGCCCAGTGTAAAATTTGCATTTTCTATCATTATCCTTAACATCATCCACACAAAAAAACTTTACAGGTTCATCTTTTGAGGTAATTTTGCTTTTCAAATCAGCCAACTCATTTTTCAATACTAGATTTTCAATTTTCACATTTACATAGGAAGGATTAAGATTCTTTTCTGTCTGAGTAGAAGCATCTTTCAGCGTATTTCTCTCACTGTCACTGTCTACAGTAGCTGATCCATCATCTGTAGCTGCAGACTTCTCTTCCCCTGTATACTGCCCTGCATTGTACAGAAAATTCGAAATAAAATGAAATAGAACAAAATTAAAAGATAATTATTGTACTTTCATATAAAGTAAATTTTATTTATCAAATAGCTAATTAAGAAAAAAAATTAAGAAAAATTAAAGAAATTAAGAAATTAACTAAATTAACTAATTAAGAAAAAACGATGTAAATAATGTTAATGAAAAAAGTTAGAATTAATCTATGATATAAAATATTTACCTGACATCAACTGGAGAAGACCTTCTGCAGCTTCTCGAGTACCGGTATCTGAGCTTGACTCTGTTCTAGAGCGTTTTACAGAAGAACCCCTTTGTGTAGGTAGCTTCCTTTTTCTGGAAATTGTTTTAACCTATAACAAACAAAAACACCAAGGATCCAAATATCAGTTCATATATGTTTTAGGTCAGGTATTATACCCTTTAATTTAACATACTGCATAAAATGATAACACTGCCTTTCTTTCTCTCCATATCCAAGACGTGACGTAATGAACTATATCACCCTGTATATATGAATTGTCGACAAAAGTCGTATGCAAAAGGGGTATATATCTTTTAAATTCCTCTAGCCTGAAAAGCATAATTGGCTTAACTAAATTACCATCTTATACGTTATACCATTATTATTACCATCATATTTAATACACAAGTCAAACTCTAGCATGCGGTAACCCCAAGTGAAAAATACGCATGACAATGCAGTGATTGGCAATGGGCATTGAATGGACGCCATGACTTCATGTGAAAAAATACAACATTAACTTTTTCGGTATACCCACCTGGGTAGACGAAGCTGTTGCCGGTAATGGGTCCGGGTATTCGTCTGTTGGGCCACTACCACCAACAAAATGTAGTGAACAAATGTATGTGCTTCTCTTTACATTATCCAACCCAAAATGTCCCTGCGACACGCCTGGATCCACCTTAAACATTTCGGTTTTTTCCTTCCTGGCTTGGAAAAGGTATGAAAAAAAACATTTTTCATGTGGTCACGATCCGCATATCGAGAGTCACTCCGACATAAACCATAACAAACAATGTCTAGTAGCCACCATCGTCGAAAACCAACACAAAAATACTAGTACGCCGCCATCATGCAGCTGTAGTGTTTGTCTGCTGTTCACATGTTGACTGGTACCCGTCCTTTTTCACCCTATATCGAGCGGGTGAGAAGGGACGGGTACCAGTCAAGTTTACCGGTTGCGGAACGCAATCTATTTCCGGCACAATCGGCCAATGCTAACAAGTGCTATTCAATATTTTGGGAAAAATTGGTCAAAAATCACATTTTTGCCCACGAATATTATGCAAATTCCATCACCACAGCCCATTAAATTGTTGGTATTCATCTTGTAGAGAAAATTTAAATTCCTTTAATATTGATACCACACACATGGCTGAAACGAGGTTCGCCAAGTTAATACGTTTATAGCGGGAGAAGGCCTGTGTGTTAATGTACAAAATGTCTGTTTTAGCTAATATCAAAATTGTAAGTTTGGAGCACTATAACTTTATGTTAGAAAAGCTTATGAACTTTGTCCTCCTTCACACAATATTAAACCATATTATGGGCAGTTTTCTGGAACGTTTCAATTGCATTTAGTGGAAAGGAATTTTGAAATATGGAGAAAAATGTATTTTGTGCAATTCAGTAATTTTGTGAAAAAATTGTCAAAAATCTCATTTTTGGCTAAAAATTTGTTAATGCAAAATTCATCACAAAGCCCATTAAACTGTGTATCGTCTTGATAGAGAATTTAATTCCTTTAATATGATTACCACACACATGGTGAAACGAGTTCGCAAAGCCGACGCAAGTTATACCGTATAGCGGGAGAAAGGCCTGTGCTGTAAATGTACAAAATGCTGTTTTAAGCTTAATATTCAAAATTTTAAGTTTGGAAGCACTATAACTTTATTGTTAGAAAAGCTATTAAACTTGTCCTCATTCACACATTATTAACCATATATATGTGGCCAGTTTTCTGGAAAGTTTCAAATGCAATTACTTGAAAAAGGGTTTTTGAAATATTGGAGAAAAAATGTAGTTTTGGTGGCATATTCATATTTTTGGGAAAAAAATGGTTAAAAATCCACCATTGTTTGGCCCAAAATTGTTACGATTAATCCACGCACCACGCCCAGTAAATGTTGGTACATCTTATAGAGAACTTAATTCCCTTGTTAATATGATGACCACACACGTGGTGAAAGGAAGTCTATTCAAACATTATCTTCAAAATTGGTTAATATTGTTAGACATGGTTGGCCATTTTGAAAAATGGCCGCCATTTGTTTTTCAAGTCAGCATATTTTCATGGTAGCTCCACCTGGGAACGGTGTTCCAGGGAGGTCTCCTAACACGTTGATACCAAACAACCTTTTACAAACACCCCATGTCTGGTTTGACCGCAAAAATGCGGGTTTGCCCCCGGGTAGTAGCGAAGCTGTCTGAATAGAAGTACGGATGCAATATTCAATCTCCTTCTCTTTGTTCGCACGCTACGAAAGAGCAGCAAGAATCTCAACCATCTCAATATATGAAGACCACACAGCAAATGTTGGGTCTGTTGCAGAATGATCCAAGACAAACTTCTGATATGAGTCAGCAATCTCACGAAATTGGTTAGACTTCAAATTCTCTTCAAACGGTAGCTCCGGAAAAGACTTAAGGAGCTTGAGTATGGCATCTACTGTTTTTTCTTGTTCCTCATCAGAGAGGGTGCTCAGGTATAACTCCCAACGAATACGCGCTGCATGCTTCCAGATATCAGCATGCGGGTTGGGTGTCGCCGTGGACTGTAGCAATTAGTGGCCGCGGCATCCAATACCGATTCCCTCCAAATCACACTATCCTCTCACATAGCCAGTCACATCAGCAGTCCACGAACAGCAAACGAGACGTCCGCGTATTATTATACAAACGCATTCGCCATACAGTCGGTTCAGGAGTGAATAATCCCTCCTGGTAGGTTAGTATCCACGTTCCCCTCGTTAGATAGTGAGAATGATGCGTTTCAGAAAGAAAACGTTCGTAACGCGAAATTCCGTAACGCGGGATATTATCAGGCGTGTTATAACATAGACTATATATATTCTATATAATATGATATAATATAATATATTATATTAGATTTAATTATATTATATTATATTATATTTATGACACTTCTGATATTCTTGTATCGATATTCGGTGACGGTGGTGGGGATTAAAGTTTGGTAATAATCAACAGCTGTTGACGAGCGATACGTCAATTTTTTTTTATTGTGAATCGTTATTAACTTTAACCGATTAGAATTATTCATGCTGCAATAAAGCAATGCAAATTCGAGGGTCACGTCGAATCAACATCCCACTACATTTGTCAAACGGTGACCCTCATTCATACAGTGAATCTACGGGAAATCATAATAACGATACGCATGATAATAATTATATTGCCACCGGGGCTTGCAAATTGTATATTGGCAGACGGGAAGCACACGCGTGACGTGTGGGTATTTAGCTGCTGAACCGTCGACAATACAATACAGGTCGAATCTCGAGGCTCATCACCAATGCGATCGCTAGTCGCGTATAGCAAACCATTGCAATGTGAAGTCACACTCATGCACCGATAACTAACTGGCTTATACTCATGCACCGGCTAGAGCCAGAGTTACATTTGGGAGCGAGCGTATAACATGATTAGCCTGCCATTCAAAGTGTATTAGTTCTCGGGCAGGATTACACCTAACGAAGCAAAATGCGATATAAGGTCTGAATATTCGTGCCACCACGCCGGTTCTGTAAATACGCCGAATACACGCAGTCCAGGGCAAGTCCAAGAGTTTGCGTACGTTACGTATGGGACATTCGGAGAAAGTTTAACCCTCTGAAAAGCAATTAAGATTGTCATTTATTTCACTGTTTTTTAAATTAATGTTGGACATCTGCAATTAAGGAGACTACCCACAAGAATTTATATGTTATTTGTCCTTGGGATGATTATGTAATTACGAAAACATGGTGCGTTACGTATGGGACCGCAAGGGGACCTTCTCTTGGACTTGCCCTGCAACGTACACGCGGGGAGGCATTAACATGAAACGTGATTGCGGAGTTCGGATCGCTATTTGGTCAATCAGGTGCGACTGGCAATCACGGATTACGGCAAATGGCGAGGTATTCGCACTGACGCTGCCTTAACGTCTGGCTGTGCAGGTTCTACATCAACCAGGAGAATCGCAGAGTAGAGCTTTCTCGGAGCATACCAGCCGTACAACACACGGTATGCACACGCACGCACACACACACGCACGCACGCACGCACGCACACACGCACGCACACACACACACACACACACACACGCGCGCGCGCGCGCGCATGCTGCTCATACTAATGCCTATCAGGGTTGAAGCTGCAAATATCAGTACGTGACTGCTAAAGCACTCCTCACGCACTGTCACACGCGGCTTCATATTACACATGTTGTCACCATATCTAGCCCAGCTATAGTCATACTCATGCATAACTATGCCAGCTTCACAGACACATTTATATTGCCTAATTGCCTAATATCTTGCTAATTACCCCCGCGCTGTCTGACTATTATAACGGTAATTATTTCTTCGCATAACAGAAGCAATTTTGAAAATGTGTGGATTGGGATTGATTATAACATTGCCCGCGTACATAGACTTTTATTCATGCAGGCACGTTTTATGATTCATACGGGACATTGTAAGAATGCGGCCGTGACTTCGCGGCAAATTAAATTTAAATTAAAAAATATATATTATAATTAAAATGAAACCAGTAGAAATGCAAACATTGATAATTGAGGACAGTCAAGTTAGACGGTTCACGACACTCTGTCTTTCTCGGTCTTTCTAGCTAGTAATAGAGGATTTCCGAGGATTCCCCGAGAGATATACGAACTGTGGACAATGCCCACATGGATGGTGGTTCGTGGTGTTTACACTAATACCCCGTACAGACTGCAAAATTTTATATGGTATCAAACTGGCGCGCGCCAAATCGTAGCGTACAGACACAAAACTCTGAAGCGGGCTCAAGTTGGCACGGATTGACTGCATGCCTGTTACGTCACTCGACAAACACGCACCAGTTTAATACCATATCAAATTCGTAGTTTGTACGGGTTATAAATAACCCCCAGTTTCATATTCCTACTTAACGAGTCGGCAGTCCATCTCAGAAGTCTTAACTTCGTTCGTCATGACATTTTACAACATAAACGCGCTAATGAAGTGAAACCATAGACGAGTAGTTACTGAACAAAAACGAGTCATGGAAACATGGCAGTAGTGCTGCGTGTTTTTAAGCAAGAAAAACAA